GTACACACACACACACACACACACATATACATAAATATAATTATATATATCTATGTGCATACGCTCGTTTTATGGTTTGCCGTAGGCGTAGAAAACTGGGCAATGCCAATTTTAACCCCCCCCCCCCCTTTAATGAAGTATTAATTAAAGGCATGTAAAATTTAAATAACATGTAAAAGTTAAAATCTTTTCTTATTTGTTTGGTCTAAAAAAAGTGTATAAGTTTTGCAGAGGGGTTTTTTTTTATATTTACAAAAAAATGTGTTTCAATGAAAAATGAAAAATGAACCCTCGAGAATCTGCAACAAGTGATTACTGTGATACATAATATAACAATGGATACATAAATATTTGTTATTGTTTTTATTTATTAAAAACAGATTTGGAACTATAAAAATAGTCTGGAGGGGAAATTCCACAGGCTTCCAAGTTTTTTATTCGAATGGGTATAAAACTCGGGGTCAAAATATGGGCAGGTCCCCAGCCGAATTAACTTGTTGAGTTGTATCATGAATTCGTGATTCACGAAGTCATTCATCCCAACACAATAAGTGTATTCTATTTTTTCAAAATAAAAAATAATATAGCACAACAAATTTCAAGATATTATAATATCCCTCATAGGCTCAGGACTATCGTGAGTATTTAACGTGAAATGACGCGCTCGTTTCTCTACCTTTCTCTCTATGTATTTTAACCCGGCCCGGTATCGCATCGTGTTTCTACTTTCTTGTATCCGGCCTTTCTATATTGTCGTACTAGGTCTCAAATGGGCCTTAAAAGCTTCATTCTATCCCTTTTTTGGGGGCTATGCTTGTGATAAAACGAGAAAATGGAAGAAAAAAAGCATGGCCCGCCGGATTTGGGTCTCTGCTAATAAATTTACGGTCGTCGGTCGTCCGAAGAAATGCTCGCGACCCTAGTCCATATTCCAGAGGGCCATGAAAAAACAAAACCTTAAACCCTAAGGCAGTACTACATACATACCAACAGGGACCTGGGAGTCTGGGATCAGGTCACCACCAGGGGGCTACTCTCACAGCCTCACTCTCTCTGACTCTGGATTTCAGAGCGTACCAAGGGCGAAAGAGAGTGATTTCATTGGATGTAAATATAAACATTACAGGGTGAGGGGGAGTTGGCACGCGAATGAAATCCTGGTTTTAGATTTTAGAAGGCTTGGAAAGAATAATTGTTGCCTATTTAGTATTTCTAATTTCCTCACCAATATAGGAGAGTAAAATATAGCTCACACTCCTGAACATCCATCACGATTCACATCATGAATTCATGAGAGTTGAGAATTCAGAGTTGAGAGTTTGAGTCTTTGATAGACTTCTTGAGAGTTGAGACAGTTGGTACTTTTTGTTGCCAGCTTGCCATGTTGTAGGTAAAACACTTACTTTTTCATTTCTCTTTTGTTTTTCTAAAAATAAATAAAAGTGAAAAATCTAAGGTGCTCACAGTCCTCACACTGACACACTCCTCAGACCTCAGTCCTCACAGTCTCACAGAGGCACAGAGTCACAGACTCACAATTTTTTCTACTCTACAAGTCTACAGCTCTACATCGTCTCTCTCTCTATGTACTACTCTAGTACTAGAGTGAGAGAGAGTAGTCTCTATTTAGTCTCTACTAGTCTCTTCTCTTCTCTTTATCTCTCTCTCTCTCTGTCTTGTTGTGTGTTGGTGTGGGACTGTGGGTCTGTGGGGCGTGGGGCCCGGGGGCCGTGGCGTGGGCCCGTGGTTCATCAACTTGATCTGCCAGTGCCTGTCTCTAGTCTACTCTAGAGTAGAGACTATACTCTATTGGACTTGGGAGTCATGGAGTAATTGAAGTCATTCATGTCATCCTCGCCAAACGGGGGCGGGGGCCCGGCAACAGGAGTAGAGTTAGTGGACTCAACTGAAATTTTAACTGGAAATAGGAGTGGTCACTCTACAACAAAATACTTTTAAAAAAACAAAAAAAACAAAAAGAAAGCAATTGAAGTGTGAACTGTGAGACTGTGAGTCTGTGAGTGTGAACTGTGAGTGTGAAGTGTGAAGTATTAACTCTTTGTGTGTTGTCAACGTGTGAACTCACTGAACTGTGAAGTGTGAACTTTTTGTGAAATGTGAAGTGTGACAGACTGACAGTCGTAGTTGTTTAAAAAAAATGAAGAGTTGAAGACAGTAAAGACTGATCGCTGGACACTGGTGCAGCCAGCAGCCAGCAGCCCTCGAGCCTGTTTAGATTTTTTTTATTGTTTTTATATATACTTTAATTCGAAAAGAAAAACCGACATCTTTGTGTCGGACTGTGGGTCAAATTGTGGACTTTGATCTCACTGAAGTGTGAAGTGTGAAGTGTGAAGTCGGGACTCACAGCAGGAGTGTGAGTTGGCAAAGTTCAATTTGTGAACGCTGCTGACTGCACTGTGAAGAACCGAAGACTTTTAATTTACTTTTTGTTTAGTAAAAAATATACGACAACAACAAAATAGTTGTTGCTTTTGCTAAAAAAAGTAAAAGCAAAATATCAACGAAAAAGCTAGTTGACTACAGTACTCTAGATTGTTTTGATCATTTTTGTGAGCAATATCACATAATAGTTGGAGAGTGATATTTCCTAAATCGAATTCTAACTGGCCCAGTCCATCGGCATGTTCATGGGTGAATGCGGTTTCTACTTTCTACCGATTCCCCGACATCCACGTGCATATTGACTCGATTTAGAAGAAGGTATTTTAAATAACTAGATAATAGAATGGATACAACACATTGTTGTGGCTTTCATATTTTATTTTACCATTTACCATATGGACAAGTGACATTCTGCATATACTTAAAATTGCAGCTGATATAATTACAAAAGGGGTACTTTGCACATTGCTGTCGAGCTAGAACTATGCTTGATGCCACAAGCGGAGACGCGTTTGTACGTACGAACTCTATATTAATATTTGGGTTCCAAGGGCTAAGAACAGTGCACGGCATTTTATGCCGCGATTTACCCGAGAAAGAACTCACTGAGGTTGAAAATACTTTTAAAAGCGATGCACTGATATACACTGGGCATGTAGGGGTATCATTCGATGACGGTAAGAAAATTTACGGCTTCAATCCCAGATCACCGTCCGAAGAGCTCAATTTGTATGAACACATGCTTCCGATGTTGAAAACTCATCTGTCGTTCCCGGGCGTGCTGACGGACGATAAAAAGACTTTCACACTCGCACAAGAGGGTCACGTGCGCCATGGGTGGAATACAAGGGTGCATGTGATCACAGTGGACGTTCCGACTCCAAAATTCAACCAGTTAAAAAGGGACTGTAAAGCCATGTACTCAGGCGTGCAAACAGTTCATCCGGCCGGATGCCCTACAGAAACTCTGAAATATAGCTTCCCGTTCAGAAAGCAGAGTAAAGATGGATCGTTCTTCCAAGACAAGTGTACAGCAAATTGTGCCACCTTTCCCGTGGATATTCTAGGCATTCCCATAGCGAGATGGAGAACAACCATGGTGCAGTTTCTACGCGACTTGCACAACGATAAAGTCTGTTCTCACGTGTGCGATAGGGCTAGTGTAATTTTATTGGGTACAGAAGACACGATCACACCACGTCGTCACAGTATTATGATTTTGGCGGGATGTAGAGAACGTATCGCTTCCTTGACTGCCCACTCCCTTGTGGAGGCTACTGAGATCGAGGATGAAGTTCGGAAGTCATATCAACTCCACCTGGAAGCACTGGCATGTGCTCTCGACAACGTTCTACGGCTGAAAAAGGTTGTTATAGAATCTGCTGGATACTATATCACAGAGTGTCGTAAGTTTCCGTACAATTTCATTTCAGTAGAGTCGTCTTATGGTCTCGAGAAATGTCTGCCATAGAGCAGCAATTACCACATTTCAAATTGACATGACGCTCCTTGAACTGAAACACATGTGCTCCCGTGTACGAACAGCAGATATCGTCCATAGGTACACGGGTATTCTACCATACAGAATCAACTATACAATACCTTATCAACGCCCAAATGCATGGCAAATGATCTCAAATACATAATTAAAGTCTTCAAAACTTCATGTAGACGTTTGAAAATATGCGTCACGTTCATACAATCTCTCATCGCTACGTAATTTTTAAAACGTGCCATCAATATGACCTTGGCCTCCTAAATTGTACAAGAGGAGGCTATGATATGACGCAGTAATTTTTCAAAATTATTGTTGGTTGTAAAAAAACAACAACATTTTTTTTTTGTTCAATCATGCTCAACTCATTCGCTCATACATGTTTTGTGTATTCTTTTAAATCTGGTTGTTCAATGGGGGCTTATTCTTTGTCATTGAACTCAGCAACATATCGCGCAATACACACCTGCCTTACTGTGAAGATATGTTCGGCCAGGCTTCGAACAATTCAGCGCACCTAGCAACGAGTCTATCACATCTTAGCCGAGTACAGACGTTAGGCTCAGCACGAATACAACCACTGTTTAAACACACAAATGAGATTGCACAGTTTGGGCGCTGGCGGTATTCGAGTACCTGTAGCGCTGTGATCACATGTAGTTGCTCTTGCATTGTGAGACAAGGAAACACTGCTCTAGGGAGAACAAGAACATGTGTCATTCGCAATACCTTGGGAGGTACATATACGCGAGTCGGCGAAATAAAACAAAGGCCACCATTGTACATATATATTAGCAGGAAGAGGGCGTTCGCCACAGGAGCTGTTGTCGTGAGAGACGAGACAAGACGCATCAAATTAGAGTATGAACGACTGGTGTATACCAATGAGCTTCAAAGGACTAGTAGGCAGGAGGAACTTGTGGGACAACTCGATAGACTACGTTATCAGGTAGGTATATTGTATACAGAAGTAGCATTTACACAGGTATATACTCCTACCTACACACATACACACGACATTACTCACTCACTCACAAATATATGTGTACACACACAATCGTACACACACACACACACACACACACGCACACACACTCCACACACACACACACACACACACACA